CGTTCCCTAACGGGTACTTTACGCGGATTCGCGTTAGTGTGCCAGGCCTGGACTTTAAGCGTGCACCGAATTAAATAATGACAAAGTTTGTCAATAACAAAATCAAATATTTAATTAAACTTCTAGTAATAAACTATATACAGTATTTAGTAAAAATCAAACAATAATTTATTTAATGAAATTCAACAAGAATCAACTCGACAAAACTCAAATCAATCTATTTCTAACTTAATTCTATTCTCCTTTGGAATTCGACGAAAATCAAAGACTTAACTTATAAACAATAATTCTTATAAATTAAAGATCCTAATCGTCACCTTAATATACTAGGAACCTATTTCCTCAAACTATCAAGACTTTCTATAATCGTCGATCCACAAATCGAATAACTTCAAAATCACCTTGGAACTAGTTGATGCTATCGGACACCTCTCTCGTTCACTGCTACGAAGCTCATCAAAGCTCGTTGCTATCAAGAGTTCACCTCAGGCATCTTCACTTGACGTTCTGTTTTTATACTGTGAGGTGACGTCACAATTCTGAATGAGATCACTCTTCTCATTTACATACTTATTCGCTAACAATAAATTTTTTTCTATTTGTCTGGCAGCCTATTTTCCGACAATAATTGCTAACCTTTTACATTATTCCTTTTCACAATTTTCGGGACGTTTTTATTCTTTAAGGTTTAGCGAGTCCCTAATTCGTGTTTGTGGGGTCTCCCCCCCTTTCTCGTTGCGGACTTACTTTTTTCCGCTCGGGAAGCGCAAGTGTGCGCGAGTTTTTCTACGGCGCTTTTCTTTCGTCGGTGAGTTGGTTTCTCTTCTATTTTTAAGTTCCTAAGGTGAATGGTGAGGAAACCTTCGTCCTAACTAAACATAAGCCCCAAACAAAAATATAATAAAAGCAAAATAAAAGTAAAATAAAAATAACGCTCGGACTTTGGTTCTTTACAAACTGAAAATTTGCTATTACTGTAATTTCCAAATACATGGCCAGTTATTAATCGATATATCAGTTTTTAGTTAATTGCGCATAATAAGGATAGAAATCGAAAATATAAAGCGAAGAATTGCCGAAATTATTTGGCTATACTTTTTGCAGTAAGTAATTAAGCTTGCAATTCCTCTTTAATTTTTCGTTTTGCTATTAATAATTTTCACTCAGAAGAACAAAGTGAGCATTTCACTTACGTCCTTCATGGTCAGGCGAATGGAGGGGAGGCCCAATGGATAAGGTGTAGATAGATTGAATGTAGACCTTTCATCGGAAATACTTTAGATTCTTCATTTTGACTCGCATTCGATTCAATCGGAGCGCGAACTTGTAATTTACCCTGTCAGTATTCCGGCATGCATAAGTTGGATATGGAGAAATTAAGTGTGATTTTATCCTAAATGTAATAATTGAGAAATTAATATATAATTGACTTCAAAAAGAAACTTATGCAAAAGACAAAATATAAATTTTAACAGAAAACAACAAAATTGCAAGACAGCCCACTTTGGAAAGTTCTATATCTTTGCACTCTAAAGCAAAAATATTTGCAAAATTTAAAAATAATAACTGATTCCCTTTATTTTTATTCCTATTCTTATTTTCTTTATTTCTATGGTATATCTTTTGTCAGAAGGCTCTTACTTTCTTAACGCCGTTTTTTAATGCTCTAAAATATTTTATTTCACTAATAGTATATTGAAAGAAAAATGTACTAAAATCATCTTAAACGTATTGTCAGACTGTTGTTTAAAAAATAAAAAAGGATAATATCGTTTACAGGTATAAAGACATAAAGAAAACTTTTCAATTTGAATCATTATAAATGCTGTGTGTTATAAGAGAGTTGCATAGTTGTGTGACAAAATTTTATAGAATTTTTGCATAGTGACATTTCCGAAATAATTCCGTTCCTTCGTAATATGATAGATAATATACAGTATGTGTTTCGTAGTTTCAAACATCGTTCTTATTCTATTGCGACAAAATTTTATTATTTACACTAGAGTTACGCGAGGACAAAATTGCAGTTAATGCAGTAAAACAATTAACGTTGAAACGAAATTTTACTTTTAATATTATAATTACTAATGATTATTATTTTGTATAGGCCTGCATTGCGTTAGAACGTTTAAAATAAACGGTTAAAATTTTAGGATTCATTAGCTAATAGTTTTAAACGTTTGAGCCTAGAGGCAAAATGTTTGTTGTTGGGTTAGCAACCCGTCCCTGTAAAAATTATAAGTGCTAAAGAAACAGCAAGAAAAAACAGAAATTTCGATTGAATGAGCGGAAGTTCGGCTCCAAGTAATATGACAGCGTCTGATGAAACGCACAAACGGTGTTCGAAACGATCTTTTCCGCCAGAAATATTACGAAAATTGAAACGGGAAGTGTGCGTACTCTATACTAGAGTGGAAGACTCGCTCAGCTACTACAGACATTTGATGAAAACCGATTTGATTTACTCGCTATCAGTGAGGTTAGATGAGAAACAAACGGCCGAATCAGTAGTGATGTCAAGACCATTATGCACATGGGCCATGTAGAGAGGTACGAACGTGCAGCAGGTCTTATTTTGAGTAAACGAATGACAAAGACACTATTTGAATGGAGGCCATTTAGTGATCGTATTGTGACCTTTCGGGTCGGCACCTCTTTAGTGCTTTGTCAGGATTGACACCACCGTGTTTATCGGAACACGGAAGCCGAGACGGCAATTTCTACGCCACACAGTCGCGCGAGCAGTCCCGTAAGTGGTCAGACATTTACATTTACATTTACTAAAGGATTAGAAGACCACCACCAATAGGTATAGCCTTGGAAAAGAAAAGATGAAGAGTTGTAGAAGAAGTGAGAAGAGTGAAGAGAAGAAAAAGGGTAGATAGGAAAGAGTGAAATATGACATCTCAGAGCACCTGCCGAGTGCCATTTATTAAACACAAATAGCCAAAATACAGTGGAATACAGTATAACTGCCCCTGTTTTGAGGCAGTAGGATTAGCCATTACGGCTGACTCGCCTTGGAGCTTAACAAACAATCACGCGCGAATGTACAACCCAAATGAGGGTATAGACAAATCCTCCATGGGAGGGAACAAAAGAAAACAACCCTTCTTTACAAAAAACAGCCCCAAACCGGGTAAAATGACCCTTAACGGCTACCTTGTCAAAGGGCCTGCACACAAACTAACGCGTATGTACATCCCCTATCAAGGGGGAGAAAACCTCCATAACCTTGGAGGTTACAAAAACGCGAGCGACAAATTCTTCGGTAAAGGGACTAGAGACAATGACATTGTTCCTTCAGGTCCAGTGGTACGTGACCAAAGCTCCGTTAAGACACCAACCATTTTAAAACAAAGAACAAAGAACGGTGCCACAATTTATGCCCGTGTAACATTACAAGCCTACCCTGCAACGCCTTGAGGCACAGGCAAAATTAGGGGCAGCCGAAGACGCATAGTCTTAGAGCAGACCTTCACAAATGCAAGCCCGAGTTGAATGTTACCAGGAGGGTCGCTTACCTAACGGACTTCAAGATGTCTATCGCCCTGATGAAGGTTTCGAAAGCCTGGAGGGTCCTATGATTGGTAAGGAAATCTTTCATCTGGCAAGACCAGTGAAAGCCAACATCAGCCAGAGTGCCTGCCAGAAGCCTTCTTTCTACTTTATATTTTGGACACAAATTATGTGCTTTGCGTTTTGGTCCTCATCCATACAGCAGAGGCATTTTGAGTCTTCTTTATTAAGAAATCGTTTCAGATATGCTCGAAAGTTTCCATGGCCTATTATAAATTGTGAGGTGGCGAAGTTGGGCTGGTAGAAGTTCATAGTTTGTCTGTCCATAACACTTGGTAGAAACTCGAAGGCATGTCGGCCTGTATTCTCTGATTCCCACCGGCGTTGCCAAAGTTGCATTATGGTGTTGTTTAACTTGGCTTTAATGAGGCTTGTCGGAAGAGAGCTTAGTGAGATGGGCATGTCCAACCTTGCGGCCCCTTTAGCCAACAGATCTGCCCGCTCATTTCCGCTAACTCCTGAATGTCCTTAACCCAGTGTAAGTGAATCGTCGCTCCTTTTTTTTGGAGTGTTTCGAGAAGATTGATAGATTCTTGAACAATATACAGTATTGTTCGTAACCGTTTGAATTGAGCAAATGCTGTTTTGCTTTCACTGAATATATTGATTGTCTTATTGTGTAGTCTTGGGTTGTGTTTTATGTAATGGAGAGCCCTGAGAATGGCCAGGCTCTCTGCCTGGTTAGACAGATTCATAATGTCAACCGATCGAGAGACAGCATGTGTCTCTCGATCGGTCTAATAAAGTGTAGATCGAGAGACAGCATGTGTCTCTCGATCTACACTTAACAATTAACAATTATTAAATTAAAAATAAAATGGATAAGATACAGAGGTTCTACAGTTTTGTCGCAGAGAGAGATTCACAGAAGGTTCGCGTGGTGAGAAATACCTTTGGTAACAGATATCCCGATCAGGGTCACATCGAATCGAAGAACCGGGTAATAGTTCTTTTTATAAGCTTTTCTAGGATTTGTCCAAGGGTGAAATATCCAGTCGAAATGTCTCGTTGAAATATCCAGGCTCTATCGTGCACTAACACAAAAAAAGCTTGTTGATAAAGGTTATCCTACGGAATGGGCAACGACTTCTTTCCTCTCCGAGGGCTAAAACGGCGACTGACTTTTTTTCGGCCGTCTCTGGCGATATTCACGGACGATTTCGGCCATGCAGAGGTTAATAGTTCACGAGATAGCGTCATGTTGCCTTCGAGAAAATGTAATGGGAGACTTTCTCGGATATTATTATTATTGTAAAAGTTAAGAAGGCCGTACCAGAGGCTTAGCCTTAGAAGAGAAGTAAGAAGAGGATAAGAGAGGGGGGAGGGGAAGATGGGGTAAGTATGATAGGAAAGTGTAAAGAAGAGATTTGTGAGCATCCAGGCCCTGCTCCGTTTGTTGGAACACAAATGAATGTAATACAAAATGTATTGGCTTGCGGTGATCCCTCAGGTAAAGTTGGGAAAAGTGTTTCCCGTCCTGAGACTTTCTCGGATAGCTACAAACAACAACTGTTACGTAACTCAAACAGTATTAGTATTAAAGTCTAGTTATTAAAGAAATTTCTGCTACCTCACATCAATTTTACATCTCGCTTTATTTATAAACACGCCAAAGCGACTGTGGTGCAGATTTTTGCGCTAACCAACGATGCGGAGGACACAATAAAAGATGAATTTTATAAAAAGCTCCAAGACGTCTTTAATGGTATCCCGAATCATGACTTGAGGGTACTGATCAGAGACTTGAATGCCCAATTGGGCAGCAATCGTTGAAGACTTGAGACTGTAATTGTTGCTCATGTATCTCTGTTTATATGAGTGACAATGGAGAAAGGCTAACATCGTTTGTGAACATTACAGGTTGTGTTGGAAACATTTACTTCCAGCATTGGCTTATCCATAAGAAAACCTGGCTGTCACCAGACAGAGGACTTTTAATGAAACAGACTTTATTTGTATTAGTAAATAGTGGAGGTTATCATTGCGCGAATTGAGGATTTACAGAAGTGCAAATTTTAGATCTAACCACGATCAAGTTAAGCTCAAACATCATAAGCAAAAGCAGTTCATGCTAAAATGGACATTCAGTGAGAGAAAAATTATGATCCAATCATTAAATGATGTAATCATCGCAGAAGCATTTACTCTGGAGATGCATAATCTCTTCTCTCTTCTTCGAGATGTAACAGATATACTACGTAGATCTGTGGGAAAACCTCAGGACATTATTATGGAGTTCACCCAAAACATCATTGAAAGATGTCGAGGACGAAAAAACGATCAGTAGATCCGAGATCGCTCGTGGAAGTTAATTGATGAGAGAAAAGATGCAATGCTTAAAAAAGATCAGGCAAAACAATGAGTAAGATGAAGGAAGAAAGCCAAATATACACCGAGTTAGATAGACGTGTAAAGAAAAGCTGTCAGAAAGACAAGAAGGAGTGGTTAGAACGAAAGGGCGTTGAAGCGCAGGAGGTTTTTGACTGGAATGACTCCAAGACTGTACCGCATAGTCAATGAACTGACTGGGATGAAAAGTAACCCAGCATTCCAATAAAACACAAAAACAAGACGCTTCTGATGGCCCAAAATGAGCAGAACAACAGATGGATAGAAGATTTTCAGAAAACATTTAGTCAGGCAGAACCGATCGTCATACACTATTTCGATATTGAGGATACACAGGGTGAGCTTCAGGTAATTCAGAAAATGGTGATATTAGTGATATTACCCTTGAGAAAGTAGTACTTGCAATTAAATGTCTAAAAAATAGCAGTGCAGCCGGTTTTGACAAAATTATTGCTGAGGTTTTGCAGCCTGAAGAGCAGTCTATGTTGGAACAGGTTAACGTTATTGTTTAACAGGGACTGGTATTGTGGGGAGGTCTCAGAAGATCGTTATAGTCAGATTTCCTAAGAGAGGAGATAACTCTGAGCGTACCAACTGGCAAGGTATCAGCCTCCTTTCTGTGCCTAGAAAGGCATTTTTGTATGGTCCTCTTTCGACGCTTGCGGATTTCCCTCTATCAACGATTCAAAGAGGAGCAAGTTGGGATTTGCTGTGGAAGATCGTACAGTGAGCAGATCTTATACCTTGGAAATATCATCGAACAATTCATTGATTATTGACACCCATTTGCTATTAATTTCATTGATTTCAAGAAGGCTTTTGACAGTGTTCACTATGAGTCCCTCTGACAAATCCTGCAATTATATGGTGTATCGACAAACATTTTCATCATTTTCAAGGTCTATATCTGCATTCAAGTTGTTGCGTAAGATTAAAGATGGTCAAATAGACTTCTTTAAAATTATGACAGGAGTCACGAAGGGATCGCCCTTGATTAGGTCATTCAGCAGGAATAAGAGTTTGGTGCGCGCATTGGGGCTGGCACCGAGTGATCTGACCAGGACCGTCTGCAAAAATTTGGGTTTTGCTGACGATATCGCCTTATTAGAGGAAAGTGAGACAATGCTACAACACGCATTGTGTCAGAAGGGACACAAAATTGGCATCAGGATAAACGACATTAAGTTAATTGATATTTAGATCACATCTCCAATGAACAGGTTCTTCAGAGTGTGATATGCAATCTTCATAACTTTGTTGCCAATAGAAAAGTCTTTCTGGCCGGTCACATTTTTTTTAAAGAACAATAGGCTTCCTAAAACAACCATAAAATGGGTTTCCCTGATGCCAAACGACCACGAGAACTTTCCAGGAATACTTGGCTTAAAACTTTTCTTCAAGATTACAAGATGCTCAATATGACCTGAGAGAAAGCTGAAGCTTTTGCCTGTGATCAAAATCGATATAAGATAATTGCTGCCCCAGTATGCTACTTAGCATTGGAAGAACTACTACTAATACTATACATTGCACTATTAATTAATACACAATATGTTCATGATTACGAATGTAATTGCACTGTTATAATAATTAATGTATTAAACATTGCTACTTTATTGATGTTTAACAGAAACCCATTAAAATATAAAATCCAATTACATCATTTGTACTTTCTAATAATTTAACTTCATAAACCATGGAACCTTTCTAAGAAAAACGCAATACAATTGACTTGTAACGTAATCGTAACGTGAAACATAACAGATCATTTTCGTATTATTTTGCAGTTGATAAACAGATGTTCGTCTACAACCGACATAAGTATGCAAAAGTTTTAATAATAAATGCATAAATTATCTTACCTTTTCTAACGCAGTGATATGCAAGATTTTTTTATATTTTTCTTCGTGATATTCTTCTCCGAACAAGATATTTTCTTTTACAGTTGCGTTGAATACCCAAGCTTCTTGAGAAGCATACGAGATCTTTCCTTTCAGAGACACTTCACCAGAAGTAATTGGAATCTCTCCCAACATGGACATTAATAGAGATGTCTAACGAAATTTATGTCATTTAATTATTTGATACGAAATGTTTTGCATAAATAATACAATTATATAAATATTTTAGAAATATTTACGTATTATTATAAGGATATTATTTCAATTATCAATTGCTTTACTTTATCAGCACATATAATGCAACGGATGATAAAACATATTCTGTCAATTCATAAGAAAAACAGACAAATTACATTTATTAATTAATCAATACAAGTTTATTATTTAAGTGTCTAATGGGACTTATGGTATTAGTAGTAGGACGTATTATACTGTCGTCCGGGTGCAGCGAATTAAGGAAACTTATTAAAATATTTGTTTCATTATTATCATTTGTTTCACATATACACACTACGTTTGTGTTTCGGACCACTTGGTCCTTCATCTGCAAGTTATTTTTTATAATTTTATAAAATCTTGTTTTAGCACCTAGTGGCTGTAAACCTACTCATGAGGGACCAAGAGGTCCGAAACACAGAGTCAGCCGATTGCAGAGATAATGTTTAAACGCCAATCGTGTAGACCGCAATTCAGAAAACTTTCATTGCAGAGACGGCATATCTCGCTTTCCACAGTTTAACACCGATTAGAAACAAGTTATTTGATCTACTTTTTGAACTCTTTTGATAGCAGGTTTAGACAGCATTTTATTTGAGTAGAAGTCGCCATATTCATTTGTTGGTGGCAAAGTTTATGTTACAATTGATATTTTTCATGTAATAAATATGGTAAACGAGACGAATCAAGAAAATTATTCATCTCGACAATTACGAAGAGAGAAAGAGATCGAGATCGAAATAACTTTTTAGAAATATATTCCGAAAACGAATTTCGAATTCGATATCGATTTTCTAAATCTGAATTTGTTCGTATTTTATATCGTATTGATGACGAAATTAAGCATCTAGATGGAAGAAGATTGCCATTAACTACTGAACAACAGTTGATAACATTACAATTTTATGCCACTGGAAGCTTTCAGAGGTTAGCCGGTGATCTTATCGGGATTCATATCTGTACTGTATGCAGGTATCTATCAAACTACCATTAAATAAATATAAAAAGCATTTTGTATAATGATAGAGGCGTTTATAATAAAAACGAGGTCTTGCTGCCAGCAGATCAACAAGAAAACAAGGAAGAAAATTCGTTTTGTATAATTTCCCATGCGGTTTATTTATCCCTGAAATGCGATTATTGTAACCTATTTCATCATAAAGTACTCAGCAAATCACTATACATAGAACTAACACTTTACTCTTGCCGAGAAATATAATTTATTTCAAAACAAACGTATTCAGCCTGATTCACAGGCCATCCTCAGGTTGAGAACCAAATTTGAATTAAAGGATTCCGTTAATGAAATACAAAATTCAAAAATTAAAAATTAAATAACCAACGGAGTAACATAAAATAAAAATATAAAAATGTAAATCATATACATATAAGTATTAAGAAATACAATTACTAATACATCCAATAAAACTACTATTTTGACTGGTTAGAGCTCTTATTAAATTTCTTAATTATAAACTTCCATGCAGAGGGAAGACTTTCTGCATTCCTCGCATTTAAACAGCCTTACTGTATTTTACTTCTATAAATCAGCAACTTTTCAGCTGTCAACGCCAAAGATGAGGAAGATAAAGGTTTTGTAATGGCTGCCTCATTCCATTTGAATACAGATCCTTGTGCTTGCGCCATTTGGGACAAAATTGTTGCATTAGACTTCTTTCTGATATTATAACTATGTTTCTAGAGTCTAGGTCCCAAACTCCTGGTGGTTACTCCAATATAGTCTTTTTTAACGCCCAATTGCATATTCTCAAAAAGAATTCTATAAACCCCTGCTTTCTCCTCTGACATTATAACATCCTTATCATTTCTGAGGATTTTGTATAAATTACGGGCCCTTTTTGTAAACATTTTCGAACCTTTTCTGCGAGCAATCTCTTTCATAACGCTATTTATACTTTCATTATTTGTAAATTTTACGATTCCAGTGGGAGAATTTTTAAAAGACCCTTTCTTGATGTTCGCTGCTTCATGCTTCCTAACCATTCCCAGAATTGCGCTTTTTCGGTAACCTATGGTCTTGGCCAACTAACGTCGTTTAACGTAAACTTTGTTTCTGCAATCGGGTGAGTGTGTACAGGTGAAACAGGTGAAAAATAGAGACTGTTTTTTTCTAAATACGTTTCGTGAATTTGCAAAACCTGAAACCTGTAAGATAGAATCCTACTAATAGAATTGTCCCAGTAGATACTTATAAAATAAACTGTATAATAAGGACACAAAGGCATGTGAATCAATAAAATTTTATCTACGAACTTTCGTAGAGGGGCGTACAATCTGTATACAGTATATAAAATCTAATGTATGCTTGTCTGTGTGTCCTTCATGCATTACTACACCATTTATCCGATTATCATAAAACTTTGGGAAGTTGTTTAATACACTCCCGCGTAGGTTTCTGGCTTAGTACATTTATCCTACGATAGGTGGCGCGCGTGTATACGAGCATTTCAGCACGAACAGGAGTTAAAACTTGAAATTTGGAACACAGTTAGGGTACGTCACGAGAACGCACACTAAACAGGGATTTTTTGAAATTTTCCCCACGCGGGAAAAGAGACACAATTAAGGCTTCTACAATGGAAATGTTAAGAGAAAGCAACGTGCTAGATTTACAGGCGCAGATGCGGTTTTTTGCGTTAAATCGAACTTAATTCTAGACCCATATAAAAATTTTTTAATTAGTCTGGAAAAGAAAACCTAATTCTTGCATTTTGTGAAAACGTGAAAGATTGCTGTAATGTAATAATCTTAACTTTCGCTATCGTTACTTTTTATCAAGAAACGCCGGGCTTATCTCCTAGTAATTAAATAATAAAAAAATTCAGTTATACATGCACAATGTTGTTATGCATAAATTTCTAAAATCAATTTTTATAAACTAATACTTTTTGGAAAACATAGAATAAGAATAACTTGTAGATTTAGAATTATATATTAGTTTCATGGAGAAGGAAACTAATAAAGAATTATTGCATTTATATTTTTAAATAAATATTTATATTCAGTTGGAGATATTAGATCAGCAATGACTTAAACACGTAATTATAAACGTCTATAATCAAATTGTATATCATATTTCCCCTTCATTCAGTCAGTTTATTTTAATGCATTACAACAAAGATGAACGATTTTATAACGGATTATGCACACAACAAGTTAATTAAGTCAAATACAAACAATTACATGACGATTTTTCTATTCTGACACAAGTTATATATAATACCTGCCATTTTGCCTAAAAACTACACAAAACATATATTTTTTATTTTCATGAATTCGAATCAAATAAAAATAAAATAAAAAGGGATAAAATATCTTAAGTAACCAAAGAAAGAATTAAAATTTGAAGTCTTTTTATTATAAACAGATAAATGGTTACATTTTGTGTAATTTTTAAAACGGTCGTTAAATCGTAAAGCATGTAATTAATTTAAAATAAATTGAAAAATTAAGATATTTACCTTTCCTGATCCAACTTGACCAACAACAAGTAATAATTCTCCAGGTTGTATATTTAAAGATATCCCATTCAACGTTGTTTCGGTTCCCTTTTAAAACAACAAACAAGCAAAACTAATCTTAAACGTTATAAATAAAAAATAATTATATACTAAACATTAATTCATGACACATGTTAATAAATTTAAAATTAATTAGTTTATTGTTTTTAAAATGAATTATTTGTACAGTATATATCGTACGTCAATTGAATGTCCCGTAACATTTTTATTAATAACCTGACACCCTGTAAAATAAAGTCGATAAAACGGATTTTCTCAGCCACCGTTTAATAAAGTTTTTATCTGTTATTTCAGTAGTAACACCAACAAGTAGAGAATATAACGTGGTAGGAATTTCTTCAATGAGAACATTCTCTGAACTTGTTTGTGACACGTGACACTCCCAACAAATTCAAGTTACTGACAATAGAACGCAATACTATTTTTTAATACAATATTTTTCTATCACATAGTCATTATGTAAAGAGGTATTTTTCAGGCGACCACTCCTTATTGGGTCAGTGAATTCTCGACATATTTTAAAATTTACTGATAGCTTGATAAACAGGTGTTTTGCTCGTTTACTCTAGAACTTATTTGATGTTCAGAAAAACCGACTTTATGCAAGGTCAAAATTTTTTTGTTTTTTTGCAACAGTGAGTGAAGGATTCTTACCCATTATAATAATTTCAGTACAGCACTATCTATGCAAAATCGAGTCAACAACTGCCGATAAACGGCACACACACATTTATTTATATTAGCAGAATGCATTTGATACACTCAACACACGAAATGATGTAATAATTTACGCAAATGATGAAATGTGAAAAATACTGGAAAACAACTAGTGGTCTTAAACTTTTCCAAATGACTGTAACATGTGACCAATACTAAAGTGACAATCAAGACCATTCCTAGACAATTATACCAATGGAATCTATGCTCACGATGCCAGATGTCACTGACCCGTAGCCATCGTCAATAAAGATTGCAGTGGTGTAGGGCTGAATTAATATAAAACTGTTCTGATTGAAAATGAATCGTATTCAGTGAAGATTCAGTCCCATTCTGATCTGTGTCTTGGCAACCCGCATAGGCGTGTATCGACATATTCTGGCTATTATGGACTCTGGCTTTTACTTTCGAATATTACAAGTTAAAACAACAGCCAGTTGAAACCAATATATCTGCAACAATACTCATTGCATGAGAATATAGATTAATAATGCTAATTAAAATGCACACGGAATAAACCATTGTGACGAACACAATTTTGGCATTTAATTTTCCCCCATTTAATAAAATTGCGACAAATGACAGAAGAGTAAATAATTTTGATGTAGGATACGTTAATTACTTGATATTCCGCTTATATATAAAAACATTGAAATTGTTTTCATACCTTTCCTAAAGTATAAACAATTAAACAATATTAATTGTTAAACTCTGAAAATATTTATTTAAAGATTAACACAGAATGCTTTCCAGGAATGACTTTTATGGGGAGCTGACCCCTATTCAGGCGTTATTTGCAAGGAGAAAATCCAGAAAACTCAAAGCTGCCAGCCTGCTCAATCAAGGCGCGAACCCACAACCAAACTGCCAGTGTTTAGGATCTGATCACCTTCACTATGTAACGGCGTCCACTCAGCCATTGGAGGGCCATCTATTTTAAACTAATATCAGAGATCTGATCAGCAAGCATTCCCTCTTGAAATGTTTCAAGTTACAATGTTTGGTAAATTTACAATACTGGTTGTTTTATATCAGGTCACGTGTACACTTCCTATTGTAGTAAAGTTAATTGACGTAGAATTAGTTATCGAATTAAAGTTATTTGTAAATTTGACACAATGTAAACTCAATATAAATTTTTCATACCATTAAAAAACAATCAAAAGAGGGATATTACGACCAATGTGTAAATAGGTGCAAGATTCTACGGTATATTTTTACAAATAATTTCATTACTATTATTTATGTCTTACATCATAACCACAATTAAAATTGCATCATCGATTAATTTAATAAAGTTACTTGAATTTGGTTCCTGCAAACCTTGTCCATTTTTATTTAAGAAACAACAATATATTTACAAATATTTCCAATACAAATCACATTAAATTTTATAGTTATACATAGGTTGCAATGCATGCAGTATTTTATAATATTACCACAATTTAAACATTTATGAAAAGTATGTAGCGTTACAAAGACCTGTGAACAAAAATACAAACATTTTTCTTGTATGCAAGGTAGTTTAAAATTCTTTTAAAAACAAGCAAGGTCTGTATCAGGAAAAATATTTTTTTGAAATCAATCCACGTGATAAGGAAAAGTAACACAAGAGTAATCTACAAACGTAGCAATAACTTCTGGAATGACTTACTGTGAGAAAGGCTTTTTCAATTTAGAAGTTACACACGTAAATAAAATCCGAGAAAACTCCACGTTCCAACTAATCGGGCGAGTGTCATCCCGATACTAACTACCATAATTTTGTAGTGTTATTCAATTATCTACTAGTAAATCAAAATGACTGTTGTTTTCGTTGAAATCTTAATGGATATCGCTAACTTTTTCACTAATTTATATATATACATATATAGATTCAAAAAACAGAACAACCAGCGGCGATCAATAATTTTACGTGAAAATGCTTCTAATTAAGATACATCTACAATACTTTAAAATTATCGAATTAAACGAATCGCAAAAGTTATTATTATCATGGTTAAACTTAAATTTAAAGCCAAGTCTTACTTTTTCCCATGCAGCTGTGACAGTATCCATGCGTATTTCCTTTAAATTATCTTCTTCTTCTACCGTTTTGGCAGCATTATTCTCTTTTTCATGAAGGAGTAGGAAACCCTAAATTAAAATTCCGAAAATGTTATTTATATTAATGGAAGTTTGCACACTGCGAAATACGCGGTTAAGGTGCTGTGCTACTACTCCTGGGATTTAAAATCAACTCGTGGTTATTAAAAAAACTAAAGTATTTTTTATAACACGATCTATTTCAATAATGTCTAGCCTTGTGTCTAACTACCCGATTTTCCCAAGCTTTGATTTGGCTAAAACGTTAATTTATTTAACAAAAGAGGCCAGAACAAAATGACTAATAATGAATATCTACTTCTGTAGAAAAAATGATTATACGGTGTTTTATAAACGTTGAAATACCAATATTATAAATTTGTTATTTAAGTTACTCTACTTATTTCTAGATTTTATTATAAATAACAATAGTCGTATGACCGATGTATTTCAGTTCTTTTACTTGTAAAATTGTTTCGTTATACGTATGCTACACAGATTTCACAAAATTGAATATATCGTTTTCATCCGAATCATGTATAATCCTGATTCCTCACAGAGAAAGAAAATGCAAAAACTTGTGTAAAGCACGATATTAACTTTTATCAGGTTTGAACAGATGTTACTAAATTTTTTAACATACAAAACAAATACAGCACACTTGAGTTAACTTGTATTGTAAAATTGCTTCTGTCATACATACAATAATATTTTTAACAGGTTCTATGAAAAGTCATCCGAAAAACTTTAGCTAAATGTTGTAGTATTGGAATACAGTATATTTTTTAAAAAGTTTTCTTATGCCGAACTATTCCGCGATAAACAAAGAATGTATCGTCAGAATATTGAAAATTAGTTTGCACACTTAATATCATATTGATACTTACTAACTTCCCCATCATGCTTACATTGATAAATCTTTATCACTTAGTTCATCCTCACTTATTAATGAGTATGCTGAAGATATTAAAATTGCTATTTCCAACCCATACATTCTCGGTTTAATATTTGATCTCAGACTGTTATTTAAATTTTCCGTAGAAAACTTGACTAAAAATCTCTGTTCGTCGGGAAGTGAATACTCTGGAATAATTTTGAATCTGTACTTAACAGAAATACACTTAGCTCAATATTTTTTACTAATATTCAATCCGCAGTTGACTAGGCTTTATTTGTTTGGGCCCCGGTCTCAGTGTCCTTATTGAATAAATTTAATGCCGAATTACCTAAATACAGTAGAGCGTCAATTATCCGAAAGAATTCCAGTCGGAAAATTTAAATTTTCGCCAGTGCTGTGGCGCTGCAATCTTTGGCTTTGTCTCGGGCTACTCAAATATTTTACGTTTCTGATACTAAATTAACTTTTGAGGTATAATTTTTTATTGTTTTTATATTTTTCAATATATTGATTTTGTTCGTACAAAATAAAAAATAATTTTTAACGATACAATTGTCTTCGTTAGGCTTAACATCGACGAAAATTCAACGCAAAGCGACACGCAACGAAGAAAAATTTCAACATCGGATACGTTAAACTATTTTTTCGTACACAATCGGTTATCCGAAATATCAGTTATCCGAACAACTCCAGTCCCCAATTGATTCGGATAATCGACGCTCTACTGTATATTTAATTCTTAATAAACTTACTCATCTACTTTTACAGACCGACGTAGCCAATTCCCGTTTAGTCTTACATTTCCTCTTCAAACGTATAGAACATTATGATCAAACATACATTTAAAAAATTTTATCGGTTTAATTCCTTCACAATATATTCACATTCGTATTCTATTTGTTACCACAAGATAAAGTCCCGCATTCAATCACCCTTTTGCCGTTTGAGTGTCACTATTCAATCATTTTTATATCGCAACAATAAAGAAACGAAAACTCTTGAGGACAAGTTATATCTACATTTTCATACATTGATAGCTATTTGTAAAGAAATACTTTATTTTGATTATTGTTTTAAATATTCATTTACGCAATTGTATTATTATTATTTCTGATGCTAGTGAGATTCTACTGAAGATCATTCAACAGCGTATGTGCTCAACTTTAGACAGAGAGATACCAGATATACAAGCAAGTTTCCCAAAGGGAAGAGAAACACATGATCATATCGTAATCTTCGATGGATCATGGAAACAGCGAGGAAATACCAAAAATATATATACCTGTTCTTTATTAATTACTGAAAGGTTGTCGATTGTATTACAACAAGTTGTGGAAGTGCGTCAAATAAATCGGAATTTCACCGCATCTCACTCAATTCTTATGATCGCTGTATACTAGTCAGGAAGCAATGTATGAAATAGTAACAAAAAACTGGTTAAAAATTAGAAGGAACACCCTCTACAGCTGAATCCTTTCACCATGACTATTCACTTTGTACGCAGAGATGGCGATTAGAAAAGCAGATTTGAATGAGTATAACATTGGAGTGAAAATTGGAAGTAGAAAAATTAATAGTCTGAGATATGTAGATGACAACACGCTGCTCACGGAAAGTCAGGAGGATCTAGAGCAGTTGCTACTGAAAGCCAAGCATTAAAATGCAAAAGTAGGCTGCTTCTTATCTACAAGAAGACCAAAATAATTATAACTGCAAATAATGCGAAAGTCAAAATAGTGAGCAACAATGAAGAAATCGAGGTATTGGAAGAAGTTTTATTCCTCGGGTCCAAAATCGACCGTAATGACGATTGCAGTCCTGAAATCAGTCCTGCATAGCTCTTGGACAAATCTCGATGATAAGCATAAACAGCTTTTGAAAGAGCAAAGACATCTCCCTCCAAATTAAATGCAAATTAGTTATCGCTATTATCTTTCCCATGGCCATATATATGACTGTGAAACGTGAACTCTAAAGAAAGAGGACAAAACAAAGATCGACGATTTCCAACTGTGGTGCTGGAAACATAATTTTTATTATGCATAGCGGGATCAGGACATGCATGTATTATACATTAATAAAAGTTAACGAAAGAACGAATGTGGTGTTATAGACGGCTATTGCGCATCCCAAATACAGCGAGGATCACCAACAAAATTGTCTTAGACAGAGTCCAACCGAAAATCTAATGAAATCCCAGATCATCAAACAAATATTATCCTTTTATAATCATACTAGCTGCAAGGACCCGCTTCGCTGGATTTTTATTTGTTCGTACATTTGTATATAATATAGTTTTTTATATATATAAAAGACTGTTTTTCTAAGTAATCTAGAATCTAGCTGCAAGGACAAGCTTCACTGGGTTTTTATTTGTGGGCAAAAAGTAACGATAGTGAAGATTAAGAGAATTACATTATAGCCAATCTTAACAGTTTTCACAGAATGCAAGAATTATGTCCCCGTTTCCAGACTAATTAGAGAATTTTTACATGAGTCTAAAAATATGTTTGATTTCCCACAAAAAACTGCCTGTAAATCTTGCATGCCGCTTTATATTAACACTTCCTTTGTTACTCAACACTTTCGTTGTTAACACTTCCATTGTTAACACTTCCATTGTTAACACTTCTATTGTTAACACTTCCATTGTTGACACTTCCATTGTTACACATCTTCGAAGTCAGCCACTTTCAACCTCATATCTCCCGCACCCTTATAGCTATCGAGACGCAACCACCCCTATGCACGAATGGAGACTTGGGGCTACCACCACATACAAACACTATTCACGTGCGATGTGTAGTTTTGGCGAAAACGTGAGATATAGGGACATACATGTCCATTTATATATATATATATATATAGATATAGATATAGATATAGATAGATATAATATAATAAGAACTTGAGAAGGCGATCATGCTGGAGATAATTAGCAGAAAACAGAGCGAGGCCGACCAAGGATTCGGTGGCTTGACTCAATTGAAAAGTCACTGAATTTTTTATAATTGAAGGTGACTGTGCAAGATAGAAAGGCATGGAGAGCTTTGGCCGATAGTCGAATACAACTAAACAAATAGTACAAAATAAAATTATTATTAATATTTTATAAAATTATTTCTTGTATGTTTTTATTGAATATGTTATCTAACCGTTGTACCAGAGGAAACGCTTATTGTCCAAGAGACATTTCCTTCCTTCTTTCAAAGCAAATCTTATAATATAATGAAGATGAATTGATAACAATAATAATAATAATGATAAATCTCCTGTAGTCACCAGCTGGTTGTAATAGGAGATTCTAGTAACTTTACTGATTCATAGAGCAATACGGGCTGCGGCACAAACAACTGGTATGAATACCCATGCCAGTAAGGTATATGGAGTGTAATCAAGCTAAGAGTGACCACACCCATATTTTGTGAAGATATTTATAATGATAGTAACCAGATGTAAGTGTGATACCGGCTCGGACGTTGCCAGGGTTAACACGGTCCGCGTTAGGCAGAGGCTCACGTTCGAAAATAGGCCACAGTCTCCTTTTGTTACTGGTGGTAAAAGCAGCGCCAGCCCAACATGGCTACTGCAATGCCCTCAACAGATGAGAGGAACCAACTTATCCTTGGTGTTTCTGTGACAATGCATATACAGACCACAAAAGATAGAAAACCATGCCAATCGATGGAATGGACAATAGATCGACACAACAATATCCTCACTTCACTGTCGCCGAACAAAGAAGTGTTGATCAAAAAAGAACAATTATACATACAACCTTGTCCTACAAACAACACTTGAACTTATCAAACAACAGGTTGCAGATCGAATACAACAGACAGAAACATCTAACGTTAATGAAAATCACGTAATCTGTCAGGATAATCCAGCAAAAAGCACTGATTACAGCAAACACACAACAACTACAACAAATGATACCACAGACACTTCCTGTTCGGATTCTCACAAATATCTTATCAATAAAGAAGTAATCTATTGATTAAGTATTATATTAAGTGTAGAAATTAATTTTTATTTTTTTTCCAAATAAAGACGTTTGCTATTGGTCAGTGCAACTTATGCTCAGTAATTAAATAGTAGAAGTCTTCGGATATAATCCGTATAAGCTTACAGAGTCAAATAACATTGATCAAGCTAGTGTAAAAATTAAAAAAAACTAATTTCTTTTATCAATGGAACTGCCAGAGTATATTTAAAATATCTGCATATCATTCTGGGGAATCTGAGATTAAATTAAACCCAACCTAATTATTATCCAATATTGAGCAAGCTAGTGTAAAAATTAAAATAACTATGTATGTTAAAGTAAAAGAACTATTTTTTATCAATAGAACTGCCAGAGTATATTTAAAATATTTGCATATTATTCTGGGGAATCTGAAATTAAACCCAACCTAATTAATATCCAATATTTGTTTATGAAGTAGGCTATAGAAAACACCGCACTAATAATAACCTTTCCTACCAGGTCATTGATATAATGGCTCGACCAAACTATAAGCATAAAATGACCTGTTTTATTGCTCAAAGCAGAAACAGAGTTTAACAAAGCAAAAAACAAAACAAAAACGTAAACAGTATGTTCGAACGTAAACAGTATGTTCGTCTTCAGGTGAGAAATTCTAATCGCATAACGGTGATAGTGATATAAAGATATTTTGATCTAATTTTTCGTATAATTTTCGTGAATTTTCTTAAATATTGCATGTTGCTTAGGTACAAATTTCTGCATACAATGCAAGCTGACATTTCTGTGTAACCCTATTTTCATTGTATTCAACTAATTTTATTTCTTGCTTATTTATGAAATTTCAATTTTTAGAAACTTATTCGAATTCCTCAAATTATTAATTTTTAGAAGTATTCAATTCCAACCATAACTAATTACAGTAAAGACTTCTACTTCTATTCATAAAAGCTTAAAAACTTATATGGATTGGCATGTCATCTCAATTTCGTCAATGTGAATAAATTCGAACTCATTTTCACAATACAGTTTTCTGTAATGTATGGTGAAAATCGAAGATAAAACGATTTTTTTTTACAAGTCGAACCTGAATTTCAGGCATTGTTCAGGTTAAATTAAATCTTCGTATCTAAAACCTTATAATATTTGCGTGGAAAAGGTTTCCGGATTATTATATAATTTACCACAAAATGTTGTCTGTTCAGTAGACTTTTTTTGCTTAAGTTTCGGATTTNATGAATCTGTCTTCCCTAGTTGTTTTAGTTATTTTAGATTAAAACTCAACTAAAATAAAGGAATTTGATGGAAAATTTGCCATGTGTCTTTAGAATAAAACACAATATTAGTGTTTATTACGCCACAAATTCTAAATTAGTATTACAGTAGTTAAATTTTAAAAGAATAGGTTTTAAAGTGTTTATTACCTGTATCCTCTTCAATGAAACCAATATATCTGAAACGAAACTCATTGCAATAGAAAATAGATTAATAATGCTAATGAAAATGTACACGGAATAAACCATTGTGACGAACACAATTTTGGCATTTAATTCTCCTCCATTTAATATAATTGTGACAAATGACAGAAGAGTAAATAATTTTGTTATAGGATACGACAATATACTTGATATTCCGCTTACATATAAAATCATTCGAATTGTTTTCATTTCTTTCCTAAAATATAAACAATTAAACAATATTAATCACAAAACTCTGAAAATATTTATTTAAAAAATTAACACATTAGCATATAGAAATTATATTAAAATCTGTGTAAACCGGGATCCCAGAATCGGATATTGTTCAATATTTTTCCAGTTTGTCAAATTTATATTTCGTACAATATATATATATATATATATATATACATACATATATTTCAAACAATATATAGGGGAGACCGAGGCAAAATCGGCATGTTAACCTTTACTTAAATTTTGTGTAATAAATACTGCTGTAAACTGAAAAAAAAGCTTTGCATATTGTCTATTGGAATGTTACCTTACTATAGAACTGGTTAAAATCAGTTTGGAAATAAAAATAATTAAAATAATTACAACTTTACAAGAAGAGAGAAATTGACGAAGTTGCCCCGGGTATAGGGGCAAGATCGGCAA